ATATACGTCCCTCCCTCCTTTTCTCTTGCAATTTATTTGGTGGAAAAACCAGGTCATTTGTCCTGTAGTGTTTACCACAATCAGAATTTTGCTGATTACATCCCTTGGTACCATTTGATAGGTTCCTCTTTCCTGCATCTTTTCTATAAACTGGTGGCTGGATCTACAGGCTTGATTCATTTAAGTATGATTACTTCTTAGGTGATATCGTACAATGACTTCTTTAAATATCAAATGCAATGGTCTTTTTCCATCTTCTCTGGCTGGATCTCATTGTAGCACTTGATACTGTTCAGCTTGACACAGGGCACGTCTTCCTTTGTGACATTCTCTCCTTCCTCGTTATTTCTTGGATGAGATGAAGAGGCAGCATCAGGGACTACCAGGAGATACCATTTTGAACTGGAATGCAACACATTTATTATAGAAAAAATCAATCAAAATATTTTTAAATAATGATTGACTCTCACCCATCAGCCGCAATCATCAGGCCACCGGTGGAGTTTCCTAAAGGCCTAATTGCTGCCAGAGAAGAAGGAACAAAATGCTGTCTGTGGTTATAGGTTGCAGGGAAATGGGCCTGAGAGTATAATTTTTCCATTGTGTAGCTCTTCCTACAGTATAACATATTGCATTAGTCAGAATAGGATACATTTTGCTGCAGTAACAAAGAATCCCTCAACTCTCAGCAGCTTAACCATTAAAGTTTGCTTCTTTCTCTTGTAAAGTCCACTGTGGATCCAGCAGCTCTCCAGAGCAGCTCCCCTCCAAGGATCCCTTCTGCTTTCATCTTGTGACTTTTCCATCTCATCCTGTGGCTTCTAAGGTTGTCATAGTGGGGGAAAGAGAAAGTGCTGGAAGGTCACACATCGGGTCCTTAAATGCCTCTTCTTGAAAGTGGCACATACCATCTCTCCTCACAGCCCATTGGTCAGAACATGGCTCTACCTAGGTGCGTTGGGGCACAGAAATGTGGGGCAGAATAAGTTATTTGGTGAACAGTTTGCTCCTCTGTATGATTATTTGTCTTTTTTTTTTGAGATGGAGTCTCACTCTGTATCCAGGATGGAGTGCAGTGGCACAATCATTGCTCACTGCAGCCTCCAACTGCCAGGCTCAAGTGATCCTCTGGTCTTAGCCTCCCTGGTAGCAGCTAGGACTACAGTGTGCACCACAACACCCAGCTATTTTTTAAAATATTTTTTGTAGAGATGTAGTGTCATTGTGTTGCCCAGGCTGGTCTTTGACATCTGGGCTCAAGTGATCCTCCTGCCTCAGCTTCCCAAAGTGCTGGGATTACAGGTGTGAGCCACCACACCCGGCCTGGTTATTTGTCTTTTAATGTGTATGTCCCATTTTCTACCTCCTGAACATCTGTACCTCCAGGAGATTAGATGGTCTGTCTAAAGGCATAAACAAGCATTAGAACTGATCTTGAAGTGGTATGAGTCTATCAGCTATTGATACATAGTGGCCAGCTGTTTGAGCTGATACTGGTTTTTTGTGGAATGCTCAGAAATTATACCAAGGTTGAACATTATGACTAATAGCTTTAACAAACATATTATCTCAGAAGTGTTGTTTGGGAGATCGTCCCCTAAAAGTAACATCCCAGCTGCTGGTTATTTTTTTACTTGCTTGTTATTTTTGTGAGACCCTTTACAATAGCATATTCCTTTTTGTTTGTTTGTTTTGAGACAGAGTCTTGCTCTGTCACCCAGGGTAGAATGCAGTGGCCTTATTATAGCTCACTGCAACCTCAAACTCTTGGGCTTAAATGATCCTCCTGCCTCAGCCTCCCAAGTAGCTGGGACTACAAGTGTGCACCGTGATGCCTGGCTAATTTTTCTATGTTTGGTAGAGACAGGGTCTTGCTCTTGCTCCAATTGGTCTCAAACTCCTGAGCTCAAGCAGTCCTCCTACCTTGGCCTCCAAGAGTGCTAGGATTACAGACATGAGCCTATAATATAGTAATAGTAATATAAAATATTACTACTATAGGCCCAGCCGATAATAGTATATTTCTAAGTGTTGTACTTAGACCACCTGCATCCTAATCAACTAGAGAGTTTGTAAACAATGCTTGTTCTGGGAACCACTCCAGATCTTCTGAAACAGAATTTCTTGGGTTGTTGCATTTTTAACAAGCTTCCTAGGTAATTTTCAGGTGTACTAAAATTATAGAACCACTGTTCTATAGTGTATGGCATTTACTGCCTTATAGTATTATCTCCTTATTTA